AAAAAAAAAAAAAAAAAAAAAAAAAAAAAAGAAATGTTTGTTCATATTCTTCATTTTCTCACTGGATTTTTTTTATATGTTGAATTTTGAGAGTTCTTTATATGTCCTAGATACTAGTCTTTTGCAGGATATGTGGTTTGCAAATATTTTCTCTCAGTGTGTAGCCTTTTTATCCTCTTAACATGGTCTTTTGCAGAGCAAAATTTTAAATTTTGATGAACTCTAATTTATCAAATTTTCCTTTTATGGATTCTGCTTTTGGTGTCAAGTCTAAGAATCTTTGCTTAGCCCTGTTTACTATTTTTTCCATAGTATTATGGCTTTACATTTTGTATTTATGGATATTATCTCTTTTGAGTTAATTTTTGTGTTAGGTCTGAAGCTTAGTCTGAGGTTCCTTTTATTTGCCTATGGATGTCCACTTCCTCCAGCACATTTATTGAAAACACTATCCTCCCTCTGTTGAATTACTTTGTACCTTTGCAAAAAAATCAGTTGAGCATATTTGCATGGGCTTATTTCTAGATTCTCTATTTTGTCCCATTGATCTTTGTGTCTGTGCCTCCACCAATACCACATTGTCTCGAGCCTTATGATAAATCTTTGTATTGGGTAGAGTGATTTCTCCTCCTTTCTTCTTTGAAAAGATTGCTTTAGCTATTCCAAAGCCTGTGCCTTTCCATATAACAATTAACATAAGCTTGCATATATCACAAAAATCTTGCTGGGATTTTGATAGGAATTGCATTAAACCTAGAGATCAATTTGGGGAGAGTTGACATCTTTGACTGTTTTGTGTCTTCCAATCCATAACATGATATATTTCTTCATTTGTTTAGGTCTCTGATTTCTCTCATTAGCATTTTAAAGATTTCAGCATATAGATCTTGTACATGTTTTGCTAAGTTTATACCTACATATTTCATTTTCTTTGGAGTATTGTAAGTGGTATTGTGTTTTTAGTTTTGGTTTTCACATGTTCATTGTTAACAGATAGAAATGCGATTGAATTTTGTGCACTGATCTTGTATCCTGAGACCTTGATGCACTCACTTATTAGTTCTAGGAGCTTTTTTAAAAAACAGATTATTTGGAATTTTCTAGGTAATCATGTCATCTATAATAAATAGGAATACTTTAATTTTTTTCCTTTCAATCTGTATGCATTTCATTTTCTTTTCTTGCCCTATTGCCATGTCTAGAACTTCCAGTACAGTCTTTATAATTTTAATCAATGTAAATTTCTAGATATTTGCAGAAACATACTTGTCTGAATAGGGCCCATAAGACTCAAACCTATGAATTTTCATCACTATTCTTAATATCTAACCTGTTCAGATTTCATTTCCTGTAATTTGGATAAATATCTGGTTACATTCAGCAGTGGTTATAAATGGCACCCATGGTGCAAAGCCCTTTGAAGTAGCAGTGACCTTTAGCAAGCTAAATGGAACCTGACTATAAAAGCAAACTTAACACAGGATCATTATCTCTAGGACAGGACCAGGAGGCAGTGTTGTGCCAAGAATTCAAGTTTGAGGTTGGCTTATGGAGCATTTTTTGAGCATGTGGTTTGTTCTTTCAGCTTTCTCCCCTTCCCTCTAAATTGGTGGTAGCAATAATTTTAAACTCTGAAAATATGAAAGGTACCTTATTCTTATGTATTAGAAATCACCATTGTTAGGAACTGTTTTGAAAACTGGCTTGTGACAAAGAATTCTGTGCATCTTACTATGTTTTTAGTAATAGGTAGTTAAAAATAATATTTTGACAATTCAAACTCTCTTCATGTGTTATTTTGTTAAACAAAAATATAACCATTAATAACACTTTTAGTTATTTTTAAAATGCATATTTCCTACATATAATGAAGTGGTTTTATGGTATACAACATACCTAACCTACCAAAGAGAGTTTATAGCCATTACAGAAAGACAGAAAACTTGGGTACTGCTAGATCCGTTACAGGTTTCAATTATAAGAGATCTTGGATATGTAAACATATGTCCATGTAGGCCTTGCAAGTGTACACATGTAGTCTAGTTTATTGCAAACCCCAGGAGCTCCTGCATATAATTTGCAGAAAATTTTTAAATCTGTAGTAAGAATCAAATTTCAGAGACATTTTGCAGGGGGAGGAGAGCAGTGAGAAATCTTCAGGCAAATTAGTCATTCTCTTTCACAATCATTTTACTAATTTTTCCTGGTTCGATGACTACTTGTACATTTCAGTAACTCTTTTGTTTTTAAATCTGTAGTAAGAATCAAATTTCAGAGACATTTTGCGGGGGGAGGAGAGCAGTGAGAAATCTTCAGGCAAATTAGTCATTCTCTTTTACAATCATTTTACTAATTTTTCCTGGTTCGATGACTACTTGTACATTTCAGTAACTCTTTTGTTCTTAAAACTGGAAGTTTACTTTACTGATTGTTCCAGGTTCAATGACTACTTGTGCATTTCAGCAACTCTTTTGTTTTGAAAACTAGAAGTTTTCTAGGTATCACTCCATCCATTGTGTGCAGTGAATTCTGGAGTCCATCCCTTGGGATGCTGACTTAGTCTCTCTGAGCCTCAGGTTTCTTGTCTGTAAGTGGGAATGATGACATGCATTTCACTGGTTGTTGGGCTTAAATGAGATGATTTCTGCCAAGGGCCCGGCCCAGGGCTGGGCAGAGAGCAGGCCGGCAGTTGCCGACTTCCTCCCTCCCTCCCTTCCTTCTCTTGTCTGGTGCCTTTGCTTTCCCGGTATCATCCTCCCCTCTCCTCTCCACGCACCACAGAATGAGGTCTTCTTATTTTGGATGCCACTCCTCATGCGTGTGGAAGGGGAACCCTCATCAGAAGTGTGAGCAGCAGGGACCTGGGAGCTTCATGCTGAAGCTACCCTTCCTCTGTAATGCACTACCGAGGCCCGCTTACATAGAGTAGGCGCTCTGTAGGTTTTTACACTGGTTTGCATGTTACAGTGGGGGGAAAAGCTCCACACATGACCAATATATTCTAGCAAATGTGACCAAATAATGCATTTGCAATCCAGTAGCAGGATGAATAATCCACGGACAAATAGTTCTCCACCCTCACCCTAAATACGATGTAGTGGCCACATGATGCCGGCTCACCTTCTTTGTGGTTGCAATGAGCTTAGACCCAAGACTCTGCCTTTGGCACAGCAAGCGACGACAGCACTCTCATGACACAAAGCAATCACATTGTATGTACAGGCATCATGTTTCCTTAAACAATGGAACAGCAACGGTCTCAACATGTCATCTTGACAACCAACGATGACTTCCAAATAGGTGAGTCTGGATCGAATACAACGTAAACAAAGACTATCTATGTGAAGTACCTATGTGAGTCGGGGATCTGCAAGCGACCACTTTCATCTCAAATCCAGCACAGGCTTCCCTGTTCTCCCTCTCTCATTCTGCTATAGGGATGACAGGGCTCTCTGAACCCTGCAGCAAAGAGACAGCGGTCGACAGCTGTCTGGCAGCATCACTTAAAATGTTTTTATTTGAACACAAATGCCGAGGGTCTTCTTACTCCATCAGGCCTTTCTGGGAACTGCTTTGAAATATTCTTCCCTTGAAATGTCGGAGACTCCTCCATACCATTTCTGAAGCCAGATATGTTCTATCCTCATCTTCATAAAGAACCATTCATACTGACGAGGCCACTTCCTCATCCCTGGGTGTCTGCAGGATAAAGGGAGGTCACAATAAAGCTGTGCACCTGATAAGGCCAGGTGAGAGGAAGAACCCCTAGACTGCAGGCCTCTCTGGGGCTGAGCACTGCTCAAAGCAGCCAGAGGCAGAAGCTGAGGAGCCAGGCAGTGGAGCCTGCACAGCCTGAGGTCCCTATACCAGGCGGCTAAAAGCTCAAGTCTGGTGCCAGGCTCCTGGGTTTGAATCATAGTTAAACTGCTGATGAGCCATGGTGCCTTGTGGGCTGTTGGCTCTCTCAAGCCCTGGTCTCCTCACCTGTCCTGTGGGTGATGTTGATGGTGCTCGGATCATAGGGCTATGTGGGGAGCAGTGATGTATGCATAAAACACTGGCAGAGAGCAGGTGCTCAGTGGGTGCTGGTCATTGTCACTAGGAAACATAAAGAAAGGCTCACTGAATCCCCGTATGAAATGTTATCCTAATGGTGAACCCATGAAACATCTCTGCTCATGGGAAGATTTCTATTCCTTCAGCAAGCTTGTCACTGTTCAGCCAAGTTGAGAGCCAGCCAGAGTGGACAGGGAATGTCCCATTCCACCTCTGCTACTAACCAACCTGCCTTCTCCCTGACGCAGACCCTTAGACACTCTGTAATATCCTTGAGGGCAGGGGGACGTGGTTCATTTTTTAAATCTTCATTTAAAAACCATCTTTTTAATATCTAAAAATGTTATGAATATAATTTAAAGACCAAGTCCAAACTGGGAAAAACATTTGTAGCAAAGCAAATGCAATAACAGGTTGATATTTTTTAAAAAATTTATCTTGAAATAATCATAAATGTTGAGAGATATTGAAAGTACATATAAAGAACTAGCTTATTTTCCTAAAACATTTGAAAGTAAGTTGCTGATCTGATGCCCCAACACTGCAAGTAGTCATGCAGCGGAGATAATAAAATGATTGTTGATATTTTAAACAACCTAGTTTTGTACTGATAACTGGAACAAATTTTATTACCTAGAAGTGGGTGGGGTGCAGGTGTAACAAACCCTAATCCAAGGGGCTCAGCCATGGGACCAGGCAGTGGGTGGAAGCTGGAAGAATCTTGATGAGACTAACAGCCGGGGCTTAAAAGAAGGTAAGGAAACCAACATCAGGGGAAGCTGGAGGTGAGGAGGCCCACGTTATGCAGTGGCTGCAAATTTGGCAGCACTGTTGTCTGCGGCAATGTGCAAAATAGGAGGTGAGCCTAATGAACCCGATGCCCTTTTCTCACTGCTTGTAACGGAGGCCCACGTTATGCAGTGGCTGCAAATTTGGCAGCACTGTTGTCTGCAGCAATGTGCAAAATAGGAGGTGAGCCTAATGAACCCGATGCCCTTTTCTCACTGCTTGTAACAACATGTGAGAGGGGAGAGGGGAGAGAACTAGGGAATGACGCCGAGTTTGGAAGCAGCGGCAAGCATGCACATGCACATGCACGAACGCACGCACATCTACGCCTATTGCTCTACCTGCCTGTGAACTGAAAACCGAGCTCATGTCCCGATTGTTCTAGTTCTCCATACTCGGTCGGTCGGTGCGGGTGCTCGGTCTCCGCGGCGTTGTGGAGGGCTCCTCCACTCACCGCCCGCCTTCCCCTTACTATCCACCAACGCACGGGTGCAGTCTGCTTGCCTCGCCTCGCTATGCCACTCCGAGCTCCAGCTCCGGACCCCGCTCCGGGCCCCACCCCGCAGCCCCCTGCAGGGACACCGTCCCCCCGGTGGGCCACACTGAGATGCGCCGCTCCAGCGCCTCCGCAGGCACCGCGCTCTGCCTAGGGTGGGCGTTGGACGATGTCTGCTAGGAGGGCTCAGTTCTTTTGATTGCAAGGCAGGGCACTGTCACAGGTTGGAAGTACACAGCAATTGTGCCTGGAACACCTCACGTGGGGTGCTCTCCAAAGGCAGCCTCAGCCCGCTGAAGGCCACCGTCTGCCTGGCCTCTGCAGCCGCCGATCACTGTCACTGCGTTACAGGCATCGAGCGGCACAGCCCTGATATCTACTTTTTATTACTGTATATTTATAGGCAAACCAATTTTAAAGCATCTACAAACCTTGAAAACATGGCCTGCTTGGCAAATTCTACTTCTTCTGGAGACACCGCCATCATCCGGCCAGTGAGCGTCAACCGGGCACACCTGGGGTCTTCCGGGTCGACGATGTTTTTTCTGCATGTGAAGAAGATATTAAAACAATGATGGGACATCAGCCTGAGATACTAAGGATTGTATTAAAAATGGAAAATAGTAGTCACATTACTAGTTATATCATTCAGGTTTTTATGTTGTCTATCATGACTTTAAAATACTCCGGCGTGGGCCGCCCCGTGGCGCACTCGGGAGAGTGCGGCGCTGGGAGCCCGCAGGGACGCTCCCAACCCGGGTTCGGATCCTATATAGGACTGGCCGGTGCGCTCACTGGCTGAGCACCGTGCGGGCGACACCAAGCCAAGGGGTGCGATCCCCTTACCAGTCACAAAAAAGACAAAATAATAATAATAATAATAATAATAATAATAATAATAATAATAATAATCGGCGTTAGCATTGTGATAGGTGTGTTTGCCTAAGTTAGATGTCAGTCTGCATCCTGGGGCAGTTAGATAACACCTGAGACCCCCCTAGTCAAGACGGCAATGCCTGAGTGGGGGAAATGGGAAGTTGTTATGCAAAGGAGATAACGTTTCAGTTACGCTAGATGAGTAAATTCTAGAGATCTACTGTACAACAGTATCAGAGTTAAAAAACGAGTTGTGCACTTACAATTTATTAAGAGGGTAGATCTTGTGTTAAGGGTTGTTACACAAAAAGCAAAAAAAAAAAAAAACCAAAAAAAACAAAGGAACACAAGGAAACTTTGGGAGGTGTTGGATGTGTCTATTATATTGTGTTTGCATATGTCCAAACTCATCAAATTGTACACATGAAATATGTGCAGCTTTTGTATACTAATTATACCCCAATAAAACTGTTTTAAAAATGCACATACAAGGGCTAGCATCTGCAACACCCTAATCAGGAGTCACTGTCCAGAGTAGTGTTGCTGCCCTGCACAACTGGGGGGGCACCACTCACTTAGAAGATAATATTAATGGCACCTCTGGAGCAGTGTAATGCACCTGCCTGGAGCTAGCATGGCTGGAGTAAGGGCTTTCAAATATTGCCATCAGCATCTGCACTGGAGGTTCCTTAATCATAAGGTATATTAGAAATAATAAGAACAGTAATGTGATCATATTTGTGACTGTTTGCTAAGAAATATTTCCATGGTGGCAGAATTCTTCTGAGACTTGCTGTCACTGTAAAGGTCACCTGGCAGTGAGAGTGTAGGGAAAGGAAACTGAAAGCTCTGACCTGCCTGTAATCATGTGAGGCACCTATTTTTGGAAGGAATGTAAACAGGGGAATCTGATACTCCAAATGATGTCCAGATAGTGGCTTCACATAAATCTCCAAGAGAAAACTTCGCAGCCATGGCTTGTGCCTTATGCATTTTGCAAGTTCTCTCTGTAAGTATTTGGGAAGATGGCTCAAAGAGGAGGCAACACAATGATAGTGCTGGTCACTTACATTTAGGTAGCGTTTTTGGTATTTCTGAGATGCTTCTGTGTATATTCTGTCATTCCCTGCTGTAATAAGATTTGTTAACTTTTACACCAAGGACATTTGTATGTCACCTTGTTTTGTTTGATCTTGATGATAACCCTAGGAGATAGGTTTGTTATTAACTCCATTTTAGAGATAAGGAAAATAAGACTCAGAAGGGTCAAGTAATTTGCACAGGGCCACAGAACTGGCAGGGGTGCAGCCAGGCCTGCAGGACCCAGGGCCTGTCATCTCAAGCAGGTAGCTAAGGCACCTCCTACTGGTCCCTTGTGTCTCGGCACATCCCAGACTCAACCTCTCCTCTATCTCCCAGATCCAGTTAGTCCCCAGGTTTATGGATTCTCTCTCCTATTACCTGATCGTGGACTTTTAAATATTATGCTAGAACCCTTCTCAAAAGCTTGGCTTGGGGATCAAAAAAATACTAGCACATGGTGGAATAAAAGCATGTGCAAGGATGTTTGTTATAGCATTGCTTATGATTCCAAAATTGGAAGCAGCCAAAATGCTTAGCAGTGAGGGAACACAAATAAAGTTCTGTCAGTACTATGGAATGCAGCCTTCAAAAAGAATGAGATAGAGCTATAGCTGTCAATGGTAAAGATATAAGTAAAAACAGCTAGCCAAAGCAAAATATATGCAGTATGGCTCCATTAAAAAAAGAAATACAAAAATGACATATATGTTCATATGCGTTTAGAAAAAGTTCTGGAAGGATTAGCCCAAGAATTTAACTCCAGTTAATTCAGAAAGAAGGGATTTGAGGGGCTTTAGGTGTGGGGTGAGGAGTCCCTTTTTATTTTATTTTATTTTATTTTTCCTTTTTTTGTCTTTTTTCGT